TCCGGACTGAGGGACATTCAAGGAAATAACCTAATCCTTTTTAAAAGGCCGGTAACGCATCATTAATTCCTCTGCTGTTGCAGTAGCGTAGGCGTTGGTAGTCACTTAACGTAGGTGAGCTACATGCTTGTTTTCGTCGTCTTGTATAATAAAACAATGACTTTGAATAAATATTATTATGTAAAATTTAAATCAAATAGTAAAAATTAATCTATTTCACTGATTCTGTATGAATAGCATGATGTCGAAACTTAATAGACGCAGAGGAGTGATCCAGAACCAACTCAGAAATGAAATGCCTGTACCTGTGCCAGCTGTGAGTCATATATTGGTCAAAACCAAAATATTTTAATTCCAAATCGACGTTCATAAACACTCTTTGAAAGTAAAAAAGATACGCAATCGTATGAAAAAGTCATAATTAGATATACGAGGCTGTATCTTTAAAACTTGAGCAAACATATAATATATAAGTATTTGGAAAATATAACAAAATATTACTAGACAGGCAAAATTTCCGAATATCCCAAAAATACATAAAAAAATATTCTTAAACGTGGCACGAATGAGTCGGCTCGAACGGGAAAGGACCACGCTCAACAGAATACCACCGTAAAATAGTAGCTTAATGCTGCTGTGTTTCGTATGGTGAGTGTAGAGAACCGGAGACCCTGTTTACGAGAAGCGAGGCATTCCATCTTAGTCCTCACGGGTGACAACGCATCTGCATTTTGATTCGTAATCGAGGATAGATGTAGATGTCTATGGGCCACAGCAACCACTTACCATCAGGTGGACTGTGTGCTCGTTTGTCACCCCGTACTATAAAACTACTATCATACTACGGCGTTTGCGTAAAACTAAAAATAGGCTACGATCGCTAGTCAACGAAAGTTGTAAGAGCGAGCGAGAGCCATGCACATCTTTATATATGTAGGCGCCAGGCGGTCAAGTGGGAGAGGAGCGGTTGACACATCGTTGCAGCCAAAGTTTTAAGAATCAGCTGACCGCGTCTTTCGTTACGTAACAAAAATAATGCTCTTATAAGTATTTAGGCACTTAGGTGTAGTAGTGTGATAGCATATCATAAGGGCGTATAAGGGCCTTGATTTGAATCTGGGATTCAAACCAAGAACCTTATTCGGTCTGGACAAAAAAAGTCAATTTATTCAGTTTTTTCGTCAAGAAATTCTCAGTAGCTGACCGGAGTCACGAAGTTGCCGGTTGTAACCCTCGTGCCTCGAAAAGCACGTAAAGCCATTGGTTTGTGGTGATTTTTTTTGCGTTTTATGACAATGAAATTAAAACATTGGGTGTAAGTAGACCTCCCAGTACTAGTTACTGCCTACTAATGTAAGAAAAGCATATACTAGTTATTTGTAATGCTCTATAAAAGAAACAGAATTAAAGTAGCTGCCATTTTATTACTGCTTATTGCCACTCTCTTATTAATAATGCCGTCGCGTGTCGCATGTTTGTAAATAGCAAACTAATGTAAAACAGAAAATCTTAAGTAGATAAATTACCCACTTTTCATTTCATATTATTATTTAATCTGAAACGAAAATGTAAATATGCCACCAAGTCCTAAAAATGATATATTGTGGCGGCGCTGTTATCGCTTTACAATAACTTAAATAGGCCGAGCTTAACGAAAATCTAACTCACACTGTCAAAGCTTCCTAACGACTACATATAATATAGAAAAAGCACTTACAGGTACTAATCACGTCTGCAGGAGCCCCGGTCTGAGAGGTGGTGGCGCTCACTATGGGATTTTTACGACCAGTCTGTATATTATTTGACGTGTACCAAAACCACGTACTAACGTATGCAACTAAGTCAATTTTTATGTTTACACATTACCAAGAGACCCTATTTCTTGGTACGCCAATTATTTGTCGTGGACTACGAACCAGTTCAGGAGAACCGCATTGTTTAGGGTAGCGCTCACCGCGCGCAGACAGCTCCTCCACACAGGCTAACGTCATAACGTTAGCCTGTGTGGAGGAGCTGTCTGCCGCCCCACATTTTTTGCCATTTTTTGTGAAAGAGCAAAGCCTTTGTATCAACTCCCTGAATATCAATATCGTGAAACTTTTAGAAAAACGGAAAGGGATAAGAGCGCAAGCACTAATAATATTTAATAAGGAATTGGCTGATGTGAAGGTGATAAAAGTGGAAAAGTGACAAAAAATGTTTTTCAACCTTTTGAACATACTAGACTTAAACGCGAAGTTCGAGAAATCACGACTAATGAAGTCATTACTTCGTCTTCCTCGTGCTATAATCCAAAACCCCGAAAACTTTTAGCTCAAGTTACAAAATCGTTTTCAGTGCCTAAAAGCCTGCAATGAAGTGGAGCCGCGTTTACGTGCTGTTTTCGAGAGTCATTACGAAACATTCGCACGCATACTCGACAACTTTTAGCCTAACTATGCAAACCGGTTTCCAAAAAGACTTCAACACCATAGACTACATACCATACCCTTCGGCAAATTTAACAGATGTCCGAAGAGTACAATCTCCCACGTTGTCTTGCGTATGTGGACTATGAGAAATCCTTTGCTTCCGTCAAAATATAGCCTGTTGTATAGTGCCAAGTTGACTGTCGTTATATCCATGAGCTGAAATATTTGTACAGTAGGACTACGATGGCTATCCGAGTGCATACCCTGAGTAAGAAACCTATCCACCTGCAGAGAGGTGTAATACAGGCTGACGTTATATCCCTGAAAATATTCACTGCTGCATTGGAAGATGTTTTCAAGCTATTGGACTGAAAGGGATACAGTATTGCGTCAGTGGCAAGTATATCGATCACCTTCGATTTACTGGCGATATAGTCCTTATGGCAGAATTGCTGGAGGACATTACTAATATGCTCATTAGCCTCAATAGTGTCTCTCAACGGATAGGTTTTAAGATGACCATGGACGAAACAAAAGTCATATGTCATGTCTATGTAACATCTATGCCGGTAGTTGGTGGGAGCACTAAGCTCAAAATTGTTGACGTGTAAGTTGACCTGGGACAAATAGTACGACTAGGTAAGTCCAACTTCGACCGAGAGGTCAATCGACGGATTCAACTCAGCTGAGCAGCGTTCGGGAGATTACGATACGTGTTTTCTTCAGGAATATCTCAAAACTAGATTGTACAACCAGTACGCCACCAGTACACCAGTGCTGTTAGTGATGACCTATGACGAGGTACGAGGAAGTTCAAAGTCATTCAGTGAGATATGGAGAGGACTATGCTCGGGGTTTTCCTGCGGGATAAACTTAGGAATAAGGATATCCGCAGTAGAACCAGAGTGATCGACATAGCCCAACAGATTGGTAAGCTGAAATGGTAATTGGCCGGCCATATAGTTCAAAGAAACGACAATCGATGGGGAAGAAAGGTTCTTAAGTGGCTGCCTGGCTCGTACCGACAAGGGAAGTATAGGGCGTTCCCCCTACTATATGGAGTAACGATCTTTTTTTAACATGGGAAAATGCCTATGCATACCCGCCTCGCGGGGGCAAGGACGGGTTATGTCAGACTCGTACCGACTAAAACGCCATGGTGTTCCAACTTCTTCGCATATTGGCAAATCCACGTGAACGCTTTCGCACACATCCGCAGCCCCACCAGCGTTGGCCACCCCATGGCGGCGCCTCCTCGGAAGAGGAATATTCCTCCCCTTTCTTCCTCTCAAGTAAAGCGCACCGGAATACATGGCGCGCCTTCCTCCATGGCCTCCAATTACAACTGCGCTACGGACGCCCTTGTGTCCGATGCGCAAAGGCCATTGGGCCAGGGAAAACGAGCACTCAGAAGCAATAGCCTTCCCGACCCCGGCGGAGGATCTGGTCTATGGCTCCGCTGACAACCAAGATTCGGCTCTGAAGAGTAGGGAGAGTGGTGCCTCGCAATACCGAAACTCCTCTCCACCCGCAGCCCCACCACCACTGCATCAACGGTGCGGCCCCGTTTGAGTCGCGGAGGATAGGGCGAGTGGCGAATTGCCATACCAACACTCCTTTTCTTTCGCGACTTTACCTCGGCTGATGCGGTAGGGGGAGACGACACCCCTTTCGCCGCACCCCACCAGAACACATCTGAAGTCGGCTCACCAAGTCCAATCGGAGTGGCCACCTCGGGCCTGGGTTATATCTTCCTTTCCTTTTTGTTCACCGCGGGTGACCGAGCCACGGCTACTAAGCCCCCATCGTCATAGGTCATCACTAACAACAAGGTAGGAACTCGTTCGGAGGGGATGGAGAGACGACCTGGTAAGACATGCAGGGAGACAATGGATCCAGGTAGCTTAGGACCGTGCTTTGTGGCATTTCTTGGGAAAGGTCTATGTTCAGCAGTGGACTTGTGAAGGGCTGAAATGATGAATAATTATGAACGGGGTCCGATAGTTCTATTTGTTCTCCCAAAAGATATCTTAAAGAATATAAAGTTTCTAAAAAAATACAACGTACATACTCGTAACGCGATTACGCTGAAATACAGCTTACTACAAAACTTTGAAGAGATCTATTTTCATTAGGCAGGTATCACATAAAATATTTTTTGTTAAAAGTAGCTTATGGTCTGATATATTAATATATATAGAGGAGGGGTTCGTTTCACTATAAAAATATTTAATTTACGGTTAATCGTATAAGAATATGAATTGCGAAAGGTGCTTACTGCTTATAAAATAAATCATATTACAGTAAGTTATAAATAACTTTAACCTAAAATTGTAGCAGTTGGTTATGCAATATTGCAATGGCAGTTACTCATGAGAGTAATATATTGAACATGCTGAAACTGGACCTAAGGTTGTTTTTGTTTTAAAATTAATACAATCTGTTTCTTTTATATTTTGTGGATTAAAATGACAAACAACCAAAGGACTATTTATTTTATTGTATACATTTGTATTTATGGGTGACATTTGGTAGTAGGAAACATTATTATTGGATACAGCACCTGCAGCCATCGAAGCCATGTCAAACAATAGAAGGGCCGTAGCCGATACCGGCAGCAATTCCAGGTCCGTACGCCAGACCAGCGGCAGATGGATATCCCAAAGCGGAAGCGGTTATGTCTTCGTTCACTATGCCCAAGGCACCGTTGCCGCAGCCGTAAAAGACGGCACCAGCACCAGCAGTTGGAAGCCCTCCAGTCCAATGGTGTCCAGGAACCATTTTACCATGACCGTCACATCTGATGTAATATTTGAGCCGATTATCACATACTGTTGACTTCCCGGAGCATCGGTGCCTCACGTCAAATACAGCCATCAAAACATAACTTGTAAGAAAACCAAGTCTCGCAATTCAGTTCTTCTACCGTAAAAGTCTGTGAGATCCATGTCGGTACCAAGTTGGTTAACTTATTCAGTCCCTACTTAAGGGTCATTCGCATGTTAAGCAGGGAAGAATACACATTTCGAACACTTTTCGTTTTCCTGCCATTCCCATCGCTTTACTCTTCCTTATTTCTTTTAGTGACCAATACTTTTTCCACCCATTCGCTATTTTTTTATTTATTTCCTTGGAAGTTAGGTCTTACAGTGATATGATTTGGCCTAAGTAAGTGTATTCTTCCACGTATTTTAGTACTTCACCGTCAACAACTATTGGTATCTGATCCCTATTGGACATTATTTTGGTTTTATCGGTATTTATTTCCAAACCAGCTTTTTTACTTTCATTTGATAGATCTTGTATCATTCTTTCAAGTGTTTTGGGATTATCTTCAAATAAAACGATATCATCGGCGAATCTGAGGTGGTGAAGTCTTCTTCCATTTATGTTCAAGCCCATGCATCCCAGTTTATTTGTCGGAATATATGTTCTAGAGCTGACGAAAACAGCTTTGGAGAAATAGAGTCACCTTGTCTGACTCTTCTTCGAGGTTTCGAGGTATATTCTTGCTGAGCATTCATCATAGACTTGTTTTAGAATGTTTATGTACGTTTTGTGAATGCCTTGCCTTTCTAGACTCTCCCAGATAATTTCTTGGTATAAACTGTCAAATGCTTTTTTATAATCTACAAAGGCTAAGTAGAGTGGTTTATTATATTCATTGTACCTTTCGAGAACCTGTTTAACCGTGTAGATATGGTCAATGGTTGAAAAGTTACGTCTAAAACCCGCCTGTTCTATTGGTTGATTTTCGTCTAATTGAAGAGTGATTCTGTTGAGAATTGTTTTAGCGAATATTTTGTAAATGTTCGACATTAAGCTGATTGGTCTGTAATTGCCTATTTCATCTTTTTCTCCCCACTTCTGTATCAATATGATGTGTGATTTTGACCATTGATACGGTATTTGACCTCTATATAATAATTCAATAAACATTCTTGTCAGGTATTGGACATAACTCCTTAGATGTTCCTTGTAGAGCCTCATTTGTAATCTTGTCTGATCCGGGTGCTTTATTTAGTTTTTGTGAGCTTTAAGCTTTCTCTACCTCGCTACATAATATAGATAAGGGCTTGTCATGTGTTGCAATAAGCGTTTTAAACTTTTTATGCAACGATACTTCTCTACTGTAGAAACGTCGGTAGAAATCAGTGGCTCTATGCGGCTCTATCTATGCTAATGCGGCAAGCTCTCTTTCTTTGAGTTTTCCGTCTTTCCAAGTTTTTGACATTAATTTTTTTCTCTTTTCTATAAGTTCGATTGTTTCTGTACTCAGTTTACGTGTTTTGTCTTTTGAGGAAGTAGGTGTACCACTCAGTTGGTTTTCTATTAAGTTGTACCTTGTCTGTAGATCTAGCTCTTTCCGGCTCCCCCTTAGAGGTGTGCTATGCTTTGAAAGAGGGGAATAAGGCATTTTGATTTCTTTCACTTTGTTACTTATTTTGAGATTTTCCGTGATTATTTTGCGTGATTTCTTTATAGGTATCAACAGAAGAGATGAACGAACCATACGATGGTTAGTGTTAAAGTTTAGTGTTTGGATTACTTCAGTGTTTGTGAAAGCTCTATGATTATTATATTAGTATATATTAGTTGTAATAAAGTCTGTTTCGTTCCTATATTTCCCATTCTGTGATTTTCAAGTCAATTTGGTTTTGTATTTCTTTCAGTTTTTAGTATAGTTCAATTAGTTTCTGGCATGAAATTAATCATTTTTTGCCCATTCTTGCTTCTCTTACCGTGACCGAATCTACCAAGAACATTGTCTTCACCACTGCTTCTTACTCCAACCTGTGCATTAAAGTTACCCATTACAATGATATTGTTAGTGTTTACTTTAATTATTGTTTCACTGAGGGCTTGATAGAACTGGTCTAAGTCGCTAGGGTTAGCTTGCTCTGTTGGGGCTTAAATTTTTATGATTACCCAATCCTTGCTATAACCAGGTAATGTCATATTGACATTGGCTATACGGTCAGATATGCCTGTGAACTCCTTTATTTGATTCTTCAGCGAGGCTTTAATAAGGAATCCGATTCCCCTTTGTCCCGGAATTACATCTTTATAGTAGAGTATATATTGATTACGGTCTTCGATTGATTCTCCAAGTCTGCGCATTTCGCTGATCCCCAATATGTCCCATCGTAGTTCCGATAGCGCGATTTCAAGCTCCTGAAGGTTTGCTTATGTTCTTAGAGTTCTTGTGTTAAGAGTTAATATTTCGATTGTACCTCTTCTTTTAGAACCTGTTTTTGTTATTAGAGTTTGTTTTTTATTCGATAAACTATTCGATAAACTATCGCTGGAGGGTTCTGGTCTAGTCTCGCGGCGACCACCCGTGTTGAGAACTGTGTTTAATGTTTTTGTAGAGTTTTCTTCCTGTTGTTTAATAGATGTGGAGGGGGCACTATTTGTTGCTATTCCGTAGATTCCATGGTATCCTTAACCCTCTTCGTCATATTTTCTTTCACTTTTGTTGTTGCCATAAATGCTTTAATAGTCCTATTCCTTTTAGAAATCTGAGTAATGTTATTGGTAAATGGAGAGTTGAATGTTCCAGAGTTTTCTGGTGATACCGATAAATTTCTCTTGTTATTTTGCTTCAGTAATTTTTTGTCCTTAAGAATTATAATTTTATCATACCTGACGACTGCATTGTTTCCTTGCTCTATTTCTTTTGCCAGGTCTTCCTTTAAGTGTTTTCGTTTTTCTAATATTTTCTTAGGATAATCTTCCATGATATAGTAAGGAGAGTTTTTAGAGCCTTTTTGTTACTTAAAACCTCAATTTGTCGGCCCATTGTTATAAATGATATTATAACGGGTCTTGCTTTCTCACCAATTTTTCCTATTCTTCGAACAGACTCTATTTCTTGTTTTTCGCAAGTTATTTTCATAAACTCTTTTATTATTTCCAAAACGGTATCTACCAGATCAAAATATGAATCCTTTTTTTCCTCAACTCCGAACAACACCAAATTTTTCTTACGCAGCTGTCTCTCAATTTTTCCAGGGCCATTTCTTGTTCCGCGAGTTTTTCCTGCAGTTGTTTAGTTTTTGTTTCAATTTTTTTTTAATTTTTAGTTTATAGTGACATTGATGTTTGTTGTGATATTTTTTTCCATACCTTTTATTTCTTCTTTTTGGGACATCATACCGGCCTGAATTTTAAGAAGCATATCTTTTATTTCCTCCATATTTATTTAGAACAACAATAAGCTTATCCCGAATAAATGCTCCCTTTTATTTAGTATTGATAACCTTACTGTGATAGGCCGTGAAGTATTGTTGTAAATTTTCGTATTCACCGATAGATGGCGGTGAAGTAACCTTAGATCGATGAATTAATATTGTTCATTCATTTTAAATTCTTAGGTTATTAAATCACTTATTTTACCTTTTTGGGTTTTTAGTGTGACACTTATTATTGATTTTGGTATTCAAATAACCAAAACTTTCCACAGTAAGAGTTTTAAGATATTTCACTGTATTTATTTTATAAAAGTGTATGACCGTTACGATCCTTTTTACACTTTTTATACTTCAATTGTTAATAATATTCGTGATTTTACACTATTTAACTATAAGACACTGTTAAATCCACCTAACTTTTATATTTTTCTTACAATTTGCTCACTTAACTTGATAAATTACCATTAAAACAACGGAGCGGTAATATTTATGTGCGTTACAGCTTACAGCGCCCTCTCACACCTTCCCTGCTTAACATACGGATGCGAATATTGGACCCTCACAGCTTCACACAAAAATAAATTTTTAACATGCCAACGAGCAATGGAGAGGAGCATGATTGGTATAAAGAAAACCGACCGAGTCAGGAATGAAGACACTCGGAACAAAACCCAGGTACCTGATATATGTATTACAAAGAATAAACTTACAAAAGTGGAGATGGACTGGACACATGCTCAGGAACCGTCAAGAAAAATGGAGACAAATTGTCACAAATTGTTATCCAAGAGATCGCAAAAGAAGCAGAGGTGGGCAGCGTAGAAGGTGGGAAGATGATTTGAAATACACGGCTGGACCTTACTGGAGACGAGTAACACTCGACCGGAAACAATGGAAAAGTCTGGAGGAGGCCTTTGTCAATAGGAATTCCGAAATCAGGGACTTTATATGGTAAATAATAATAAAATAAATATTTAATATAATTATGCAAATAGTTTCCTTATGCTAAGTCTTGCTTTAATTAATTTAAATATTTAATAATAATAAATTAAATAAATGTCATTGTTCTGATTAATTTATATAAGATGTAATGAAAGATTTATTCATTAATAAGTTAATTTTTAAATGTCATAATGTGTTATAGTATAATATGTTAATATTTCTTCTACTTCTAATTGATAATGTTATTAATGATATCACTAATTGAGTAGGGCTAATTATATATAATAAAAAAAAATTGTTGGCGTTTTTGATTTTGGAAATAAAAGGCTATTTTATTTATTTATTTATTTAACGGTCATTCTGTTTTAAGTTATTACGTAATTAGCTAACCTAACACCATTTTATAGTGACCATATCAATGTTAAAAATCTTTTACGTTTCAAATGAATAGATTGACTTTGCCATCGCAAGAACTTAACTAATACTTAATGTATCTCACAAGTAATACTACTCAATATATATATATATATATATATATATATATATATATATATACATATATATTACTTATATTAAATTAGATTGCTTAGTGCGATTGCCAAGTCAATCTATATTTTTAAAACATATAAGATTTTTAACATTGATATGGTCACTATAAAATGTTGTTATGTTAGGTAATTACGTAATAACTTAAAACAGAATGACCCTTAAATAAATAAATAAAGAACCCTTAAGTAGGGACTGAATAAGTTAACCGACTTGGTATTACATTGATCTCACAGCTTTTTACGGTAGAAGAACTAAATTGCGAGACTTGGTTTTTTTTACAAGTTATGTTTTGATGGCATCTCATTTCTTTTTGTAGGTAAGATAGACCTACTTTTTTCCTTTCCGGTACCTTCTACTTCCTGAAAACCATCAAAGTACCTATCTACACCTATATCCAAATATAATGATTCATTCATTGTAAATGTAACTTTTTAATTCTATATATTTATTTGGGATTACAAAACTTTGTAATAAATAACTATTTATGCAGTTAGTGTATCTAGAAAACTGGTTCTAAATTAAAAAAATATTTTAGTTTTTCCTTGATTTGTACACTAAAAACTAATTATATTCTAAATTTGAAGCTTTTATGCCTGCTAGAAGTGCCTTAGAGTTTTGATGATCGATGATTGATCGGTCAGTCAGTGAGTGACAAAATTAAGAAACTTTGACTCGTTATAAGGTACCCGCGGGTATTAAGGCCTGTCGGGCAATAAGGCTTAAGTAACAAATAACGTACGAAATACAGTAAATAAATAAATAAAAATAAAATAAAAAAGCCTTTTATTTCTTGCATTCCATACTACAATTTCATTAACAGTGTGCATGCAAAATGGATAAGAAATAAATTGAAATTAATGTGGTTATGATTAACAAATAATTAGATTGTAATAATGATATATTCAAATCTATTTCATTTTTGTAGTTTCATTTAAAAATATATTAGTAAAATTTGCTTAGTTGTTGATTGCTAGAAGCAAGAAGTTAATATTGTAATTGACATAACATAGTAACAATATTTAATTTAATGATTTTTTAACAAGAACCCTCTCCATGAGAGGTAAAGGCCTCCTCCAGAGAAGCCCAGTACTCTCTATTCTCTGCCGCTCGTAACCAATGAGTACCTGCTACTTTTATGATATCGTCTGCCCAGCGTGTATTTGGTCTTCCTCTCTTTCTCTGTCCTAGTGGGCCTGTCCATTGTGTTGTCTCTCTTGTCCATCTATTGTCGCTTAGCCTCGCTACGTGTCCAGCCCATCGCCATTTAAGCTTTTGTGAGTAATTGAGAGCGTCAATGTCTTGAATTTTCTGTCTTATATGAGTGTGGCGGACCTTTTGGATTTTCCTTATTTTCCGAATGCTTCTCTCCATACTCCTTTGGCTAGATATAATTTTATTTTTTATTTTTCTGGTAAATTTCCAAGTTTGGCAGGCGTATGTTAATGAGGGCAGTAGGCAGATGTTCATGACTTTCGTTATCATTCGTATGTTCATTTTACCTTTGAGTATTTCTTTAAAGCTCCAAACGAAATACAGTAATTGACCATCAATGTTACACTCACACAAGCTCAGAGCTTATACAAGTCGCTGTGAAGTGGCGGACGAACGCTTGCATTTTTCACCCGGCCGGTGTTGTCGAAATCATTCAGCGGTACGGTCACGCGGCACGATTTATGAAAATTGGCTCCAGTAAAACGTAAGTTATTTTGAAAATATCATATTTACAAACTGTATTGACCGTCCGTTTATTAATTAATGTATGCTTGTCCCTAGGTTACCGTATTAAAGGACTTGTAAGTAGTTGTAAAAAAATTATTATTATTTTTTCTGGCCTATAAAATTTTACTATAGGCCTTATTATACTCCTATTTTTTACTGCTATATAAGTAGGAGCGTGTTTTTAAAATGTTTGTTGGTGGGTAGTATGTACGTAGTTATACATTTTCAACTTATCATTGTTTTCAATGCTTACGGTCACGATGCCTCCCAAACGGGCATTGTGGTCAGATATTCTTGGTGGTATTCTGAAATGGGCTTGGCTGTGACACCAAGAATATTACGTCGATTGTTGTTGAGTTTAAAAAATTAAAATATGTCATACTTTGTTAAATTTAGCCCAGTTCTCTGATCGTTCCGTTGGATTGATCGCATTTTTGATACGGCTTTACCGTATCAAAATTCCTCATGTATTGTGTTGTTGCTTATTATTATTATTGAACTGTAATGTTATCGGGTAAGTAAAAGCTTACAGATTAGTACCTACGGTCACGCAACACACGCCACAAGTATTTCCTGAGCGTGAAGTCAGACCTGACACACACACACACACACACACACATATATATATATATATATATATATATATGTATATACATATATATGTATGTGTGTGTGTACGTGTGTGTGTGTGTGTGTGTGTGGTGTGCGTGTGTGTGTCAGGTCTGACTCAAATGCGATCAATCCAACGGAACGACCAGAGAACTGGGCTAAATTTAACAAAGTATGACATATTTTAATTTTTTAAACTCAATGGCATTATGGTATATATGGCATATATTTTTGTAATTCAAGACTGAATTAGAAATCGTCGTGTATTGGCTGTATAAGAAAATCCACCACTATATCACCACGTGTTCACTGTTAGTTAGAAATTGTGTCAGGAAAAAAATAGAGAAAGGAGAGCATCATGAAGTAAAAATCTGCAATTTAGCAAGCTGTTAATTGTCATTGCTTCACTTCAGTACAGGTAAGCAACGTTGGAACCACAACCACAATTTCCGACGCAGCTTCCGGTTATGGAGACAATACCACCAGCTGGAATATTACCATCGAATTTAACAGCACCTAGAATCGGCACCTGACCAGTTATTATGTACGGGTGACAAACGAGCACACAGTCCACCTGATGGTAAGTTGTTGCTGTGGCCCATAGACATCTACATCTATCCTCGATTACGAATCAAAATGCAGATGCGTTGTCACCAAGACAAGACCGTTGTCAAGATGGAATCCCTCGTTTTTCGTAAAAAAGCAATAAGCTACTATTTTACGGTGGTATTCTGTTGAGCGTGGTCCTTCTCCGTTCGAGCCGACTCATTCGTGCCACAACTATACTACTAATATAACTGCAGCTTGGCTATACCACGTCTATGTATTATTTGGATATTCGGAAAATTTGCCTGTCTAATAATATTTTGTTATATTTTCCAAATACTTATATATTATATATTTGCTCAAGTTTTAAAGATACAGCCTCGTATATATAATTATGACTTTTTCATACGCTTGCATATATTTTTTACTATTTTTATTAAAATATTTTGGTTTTGACCAATATATATCTCACAGCTAGCACAGGTACAGGAATTTCATTTCTGAGTTGGTTCTGGTTGGTTCAAGTTTCGATCAAGTTTGGTTCAAGTAATGTTATCGGGTAAGTAAAAGCTTACAGATTAGTACCTACGGTCAC